AGCTTAGTTAAAAGCCACAAAATAGAAAAATAGTAAAACTAATCATCTTTGTTCTGGTCTATGCACACCAAGCTTTAGAGCAGTTCTTTCTTCTATTAATCAATTCTTACCCCCTTATTATACCAATATTTTACCCGGGTCCAAGAAGATTTTTTTAAAAAAATATATTTTTATTGATTTCAGAGAGGAAGGGAGAGGGAGAGATAGAAACATCAATGATGAGAGAGAATCATTGATTGGCAGCCCCCCCCCCCAATTGGGGATCGAGCCCGCAACCTAGTCATGTGCCCCTGACCGGAATTGAACCCGGGACCCTTCAGTCTGAAGGTTGATGCTCTATCCACTAAGCCAAACCGGCCAGGGCGAAGATTTTTTCCTTGATAAACATTAGTTAGAATATGTCTGAATTTTGATCAATCAATTTTCTATCAATATAAAAATTCATTCCTTCTTAATTCAGGAAAGTTTTCTTGAATGCATTATAATTTCAAACATTTATTCTCCTCTTTAAAAATCTTTTTCTTTTCCTTTTACATATACATAATTGCCTGTCTTCCAGTGCTGATATTTTCTCTCATCTATTACATAAAAAGCCTGTGGTCATCACACCATCATGCCGTAATGACCCATCAGCAGGAGGCTGCGGGTGTGGCGAGGTGTGCGCGAGTGGGCAGGGACTTGGCTCTGGAGGACTTGACCGGAGGCACAGATGGGTTTCTGGGTCCCGCCTCCCGCGGCAGTGGCGGAGGTGGCAGTGGGACTCTTTCTGGGTCCCACAGAGCCACGGGACACTGGGTCCTGGGTCTTGTACGATTTCGCGCACTGGGCCCCTAGTATCTTATAAAATTCGCTTTATTTTTGTTTCTTTTTATTTACATTGTATTGTATCCTTTATATCCCTTATTGATTTTTCTGCAGCGTCTTTGTGTTCCAATGTAAAATAACTTGTTTGCCTTCTTCTTTCCTGGGTTCTGCTAGCTCAAAATTAATCTCTTAAGCCATCTTTTCCTACATCTATTTTTACATTTCTACTTTGCCAACTTTCAAATAAGTGAACACATAAGTTATTAAAAACATTAAGACCAGGGGGGTGGGGGTGGGATCGATGCGAAAAAACAACAAAGGGTATCTGTAATACTTTCAACAATAAAGAAAAATTTAAACACGCGCGCGCACACACACACACACACACACCATTAAGATAAAAATTTCATCTAATTTATGCCAACTTTTTTTTTTTGGTGTGTATACATGTCTGTGTGTGACTAACCTTTACCTGTTTCTAAGCTTTGCTGTCTTTTTCCACATTTTCTTATGAATATTTATGTATGAATGCCAGGCCAGTCACTTATTTTTAAATTTTTATTTATTTACTTATTTTTTGAATTTATTTTTATTGTTGAAAGTATTACAGAAGTCCCCCATCTTTCCCCCATTGACCCCTCTCCATCCAGCAATGGCCCCCACCCCCAGGCCGTCACCACAATATTGTCAGTGTCCATGGGTTATGCATATATGCATATAAGTTCTTTGGGTAATCTCTCCCCACCCACTCCTGCCTTCCCCTCTGAGATTCATCAGTCTGTTCCATGCTTCTATGTCTCTGGATCTATTTTGTTCATCAGTTTATTTTGTTCATTAGATTCCACATATGAGTGCAGATCATGTGATACTTGTCTTTCTCTGACTGTCTTATTTTCTTTTAAATTACTTATTACTTAATGAGCTGGACAAGCTATTTGGCTGGACTAGAAAGTTTTGGGGTGCAGGAGGATGGGAACACAAGTTCCATACAGCTTTTAAAACCAAAAGACTATCACATTATCTGATGCTATGAAGGCAGATTGCTTTACCCAAATATAGTTCCTCTACTTTTTTAAACCAAACCACATCACGGATGGCTTCAGCCTGGCCACTCCAGTTACCATGAGGCATGTCATAAACAGGGAAAATGTTTTTATACTAAAAAAACAACCCTCTCACCTTTAGGAAGTCCAATTTTCTGTCACATTCTAAGTTCTGCCATCACTGAGCATTCTCAACATTGCATGTTTTTTCACTCTCCTCCTCTTTCTATGGGACCTCTACCAGGAAGATCTCCAGGTGCTTCAGCAACTGTACCTATTTTTTGTTACCCAGGTAGTCTATCTTTTTTCTTAGTTTTACTTAATGTTAGGTGGAGTTGTATAGGTAGAAGTGTGTGTATTTGTTTTATTTTCTTTGTTGCTTTTGTGTGTTTTCTGGGAAGCCAGGGAAAAGATACTGACTTACCCTTAATCATTCCTAAATAATCTATGTTCCTTATCTATACTAGTCTATACTAGTAATAATAAAAGCGTAATATGCAAATTGACCAAACAGCTGAATAGTGGAATGACCGTCTGGATGACCTTTGGGACGACCTTCAGGACGAAGCCATGGCTGGCTGTGAGGGCTGAGGCAGCCGCTGGGGCTGTGAAGGCCTACTCTTGCACAAATTTTGTGCATCAGGCCTCTAGTAAACATATAAATGAGAGAGGCTTTATCTACACTAATAAAAGAGAAACATGGTAATTAGCGTACGACCGCTACCCTTCCCATTGGCTAATCAGCATATCCTTATGCAAATTAACTGTCAGCCAAGATGGCGGCCGGCAGCCATGCACTGAAGCGAACAGGGAGGCTTGCTTGCTCCAGTGATGGCGGACTCCAACGTTCCCCACCTGAGTTGCCGGCCTCTCAGCTGCAACTCTAAGCAACTATGTTGCAAATATAGAAGCTAAACAAAACCCCAGAAACCGGCTTTCAGTCAGCCGGGCTTCAGCCAGCCGGACTGCAACCTTGTATCAATACAGAAGGTAAACAAAGCAGCAGAGGCCTCAGAGCTAAAGCTGGCCCAGAATAGAAAAAAGAAAGCAGAAAAAAAGGAGCAGTTGGGAGCTTCAGTCACTCGCCAGCCTGAAAACGGCCCTCAGCCCCTCACTCAGACTGGCCAGGCACCCCAATGGGGACCCCCACCCTGATCCAGGGCACCCTTCAGGGCAAACCAGCCAGCCCCACCCATGCACCATGCCTCTATTCTATATAGTAAAAGGGTAATATGCTTCCCGGCACCGGGATCAGCGGAGCAGCGAGGCTCCTGGCACCGGGATCAGCGTGACAAGGGGCAGCGCCCAAACCCCTGA